CTCTATTTTTTAGTATAATTTATAGAAAGTTTCAATAATTTGTTGAGACAAAAAAAAACAAGCAGAATATATTTAAGGTGTTTTTTTGTCTAATTAGCATATGATAGTTGTAAACAATTGGTATTGATTGATCTTTGAAAGAAACGATATTAGACACTAAAATTTTGGTGTTGGTGATTTCAAACATTAATGCAATGAATGCAAAAGAAAAACGAAACAAATTTTTTTTTTATTCAGTGCCTCATATATTGGTATAATACTTGATGACCTCATACTTCTTCTCTTATGAAGAACCAACGATAATATCAAAAATTTGATAGTTCGAAGTGCAAACATTTTATTCTAAATCATTAAACAATATTGTCAATGTTGTATGAAGGGTAACATGAATAACTTGTTTTTATGATAGTGCAAAAATAAAATAGCAAAATCAATCATTGCTATTACTTTCGTTACGATGTCAATCGTTAAATAATAGAAGAGAGAACGTATAGCTAATGTCATACGGTGTTGTTATATAATCAAAAATTACCAAAAAACCAATTTGTTCTTTATTCTCAGTTTTATGTAAACTTAAAGAAAACCTAAAGATTTGAAAACTATTTTGAAATTTTCAGTGTGTATGGACATCAATGACTAGGGTAAACGTTTTTTTCCAATTTTTCTGCTTGGATAGTTATATATTAATGCTTGAATTATGTCTAATAGACAGAGGATATTTCAAAAGGTACATAGAGCAGAAAAAAATAAATAAATATGAAAAACCGAAAAATTTTTGATTGAAAAAAGGGCGTGGTCCTCTTATGAAAAGAGAATCAGAGTAACAACTAACAAACAATATATAAATTGAAAATTTTCATTTAATAAGCAACTGGAAAATCGAATTAAAGCAGATAAAATAATAGTTTGGTAATTTTATTGAGAAATTCATTCAAAAGGTTTTTCTTTTGTATTTCGCTCTGCCACAGTATCTATTTATTATTATCAATAATATTAATGTATTATTGAGAATAATTAGATTTTACGTAAGTAGACAATTAGAAATGGTCTCGTTATTAGAAACGAAGGAAATTATTTTGAAATAAAACTTATCAACGGAGTTCCCTTTGAATTTAGTTGTGGAACTCAAATGATTCGCGTAGCTTCATTATACCAATACAAAATCGGTAAAGTTAAAAAAAAATTCTAATATACGATAATTGCTTTCTAAGTATAATTGATTGTAAGAGACGATCTGTCTTGTTTTTTATTCTACTTCGAACAAATTCTTTTTCTACAGATGCCCAATTTTATTTTTGCCTTCAAGTTAATAACTTGTTATTTATTTTTTTCTTTTATACCATTTTTTTAAAACTTACTATTACTATTATAATTCTAATCATTGATTTACCTGAAAAATAAGCCTGTTATACATATTCATTATTCTTACAAATAAATCTGAAGATTCATTATATATTTTTGTGAAGAATAAACTTATAGATATTATTCTAAATGCAATTATTTGTTCTATCTTTTAAGATCATTTTATTATCTATTTTTTTATCAATAAATATGATTATGTGTTATTATTCTAATATATACATAGATTTTGAGTATTTTCAATAAAATATCTTACTTCTATTGTATACGTTCATTCTATACAGAATCAATTTTATTTAAATAATAATTGAAAATAATATTAATATATCTAAATCTGTGTTAAAACAGTAGTCTCTGAAATTTTTTTATCAATGAAAAAAAATATCATTTGTACAGACGTATCTTATTTTTATAGACTTAATCCATGTTGTAGCTCATTTAAAATTGTGTGTTACTATTTTTTAAATATCTATAATTGGCATAAATATCAATGATTATTTCGTAAGTACATTTATATATAAAGTAGAAATGGTTCAAAATAATCATCATGAGCATCAGTAAGATCAAGATGAGTGAGATGAAGATATTCAATAACTAATGGTGTTTTATTCTTGTTTGTTGATTTTCTACGTTGTTAATAGTTTTTTTTTAGTTTGTAATTAGTTACAGATAATTTAATTATAAATGGAAATGATTGAACAATTCGAAGAAAAAATTCTTGTTCACAAGGAAGTTCATCAAATAATGATATTTCACAAACACATCTAAATAATCGATCTGGAAAAATTATTTGTGATATTTTTCTAACATCTCACTTTAAATGAATATAAATTGACATGACATGAATCTATTTCTGTGCTTGGACAGCAATCGATATATGAAATGAAAATTTTATTATCTCAAAAACTTCTCTGAATGTTTGTTCTATATCTTCATTTGATAGTAAAGCAATTTGATGATGAAGAAAAATAAATGAACAAATATTAAATCTCATAATTTTTTCCTAAAAAAAAATAAGAGAAATACTCTTAAATTTTGATAACTTGTTTCAATAAATTAGAAAATTTATAACACAACAAAATTTTATTTATTTTTTATGGCCCAACGGGAAAATGATAATGTTATTACATGTAATTCTAGTAACATTAATAAAAAAAAAACAGTTGGAGGTAAAATCTCAAATGATATCTATTTATAACACTTGAAAGTTGGATGAAATTTAGCTATTGTAAATTGATTAATCTAATAAAGATATGTGTAAATATAAGAGTATTCATATATTTTGTTCATAGTACCAATCAAAGATGAGTACAGGACAGGGCGGTGCAATCGTCCTGTGCTGTCCTGCAGAACAGCTCAGAAAGGAAAATATTGTATGAATAAATAGTTAAATGTCTTGTCTATAAAAATATGTATAATAATCATATTTGGAATTTAGTTCTTACATTCTTTCAGATAAAATCTAATTCTATCAAATAAAAATGCAGAACTTTCAGCAACATGGAAACTTTACGTTCTACCGTATCGAACAATTGTAAGATAAGCAAAACGTTTTCATGAAGCGAGCTTACCAATGTAAATATTCAACTGGCACCATAGTTTATCACCAATAATTCACATTCAACTTATGATGATATCACAACTGAACCTTCTTTCTCTCTTCCTCTCATGGTGTAATATGAAGTAGATCTGAACTAAAAACTTTGTTTTCTTTTGGCCTAATGTATATATCAAGCGTAATTTAGCTGAGAAAATACATGAAAACTCATACGCTTGTGTAGTTTCAGAGATAGTTAAAAATATTTCACAAGAATAGTTGAAAAAAGACCATTTGATAAATAGTTAGAAAGAATGAAATTTTTTATGAATAATTATAATGACATTTTTAACATTTAATAAAATAAAATATATTTCTTTATTTCTATAGTTTTATTTGATATTGTCAGAGGTTTTCATCAAGTCTAGTTATTGACTCAATAAAGAATTCATGAAATTCATATTGGATTCTTCACCCATTTTAATATCGTTGTAATTGAAAGAATTTAAAGTATAAATATCTTATCTGTTAAGAGTCTTCAAGTTGTTTCCTTTTTCGAAATTCTAGGAATTGACTCTATATTAATCAGGATAATTTACAGAAAGAAAAATATGTTTCATAGATGAATGTACAAGATTGAGTCACTTGATTTAATCATGAATGATAGATAATCTACATAAACAAAATCGATCATATCTTGAAACAGACAATGAATAGATAGAACCGTATCCTAAGTATCTCTGTAGTATTAAACTACGTATCAAAATAGAATCATGCAAAATTACATTCAATCGTTTATAGACATCTATTGAAGAGTATTGTATGATAAAAATGTTCAATCTTTTGAAAATAATCAAAACAATTTCATCAGCTAACCATAATAATCAATCAAAAAAGAAAAAGTTAATTGAAAATACTTTTTTCTATCAGCAAGGTCAGCATGAAAAAAAGTAAATGTCGGTATTATAAATATAAATAATGTAGGGTTTAGATCTCATCATCGAAGCTTTATCGTCTGTAGTATGATTTATTTAATTAGTAGTATTCATTATCTAATAAACGAAATATGAAAATGCACTTTAATATTTATTAAATGAATGATAAATCTTAAAATGTATTTTACTTTCATTCTCTGTTCATCCCTTTATCAAACTCATTTAAATAATCAGTCGTTGAACGCCAATAAATTTTATATATGGCCTTATGAAAGCTTCAGTGTCTTAGGAAGATGATTGAAAAAAGAAGCTTTCTATTCATAAAATAATCCTTCGTAATGATATACAAACATTTCGAATCTTTATTCATGTAATTTTTCTAAATGAAAAGCAAAAACAAATTATTGATTACAATATTACGCATAACAACATGAAAATGTATTTAAAAGTTAATAACATGTGCATTAATTGGCTGTCTATTAATTGCATCGACATTCAACTTTGTTTTGGTATCGTTGTGCTGCAGTGAATTAGTATTTAGTGGATCAGTATCAAGTTTACAATGGCGTGATCTTATTCGTTTGAAGAGAGGAATTTTTAATGCTTTTTTATTTGGATTTTTGGGATTGTAATGTAATTCAAAAGTTCCAGTATTCTCAGCTTCCTCTTTCGTAACATCTTGTTCTTGTAGAACTTTTTTTACAAGATCACTAACAGCCCTTGATGCAGTTATTTCCCAACTTTCACCATGTGCTAAAATACAATACATTTTCTTTTGCATTCTCTAACAGATAAATTCCATTATACCTGCTATATCAAGTCCTTCAAGTTCATCTTCTTCAGCT